GCCTTTCCTGGAGCTCACTTGGTAGCCCAGGCTGGCCTCGAACTCACAGAGATCCGCCTGGCTCTGCCTCCTGAGTGCTGGGATTAAAGGCGTGCGCCACAACCGCCCGGCAAGCTTGGTACTTTTTAGCCTCAGTCTGTGTGTTGAGGCTTCGCCGTGGGAGGTGGCCGAGGCCAGGCAGAGCCAGGACAGGAGACGGAGATGTGGGCAGGTCCAGAGGGGGTGTCCTCGCCTCTGGTCTCCCCGACTTCTCCAGTTAGGAGGAAGAAGGACCACTAACAGCCCAGACCCCCAGAGTCTGGCCTCTTAGATGCGAAGCAGGACGGGGAAGCTGCGGGCTCGGCTCGGGAGACCTCGTGTGAGTGATGGAGCAGGTCCCCAGGGTGAGGGGTGTCCAGCCTGCACTTCATGGTACTCTCCCTCCACAGGCCTTCTTGACGTCGGTGGCCAGGTGCTCCCAGACTCCTTACCGTCAGCACCGGCCGAGCAGCTGCCCCACTTCCTGCAGGAGCCACAGGACGCCTACATCGTAAAGAACAAGCCCGTGGAACTGCGCTGCCGAGCCTTCCCCGCCACACAGATCTACTTCAAGTGCAATGGCGAATGGGTCAGCCAGAACGACCACGTCACACAGGAGAGCCTGGATGAGGCCACAGGTGAGACCCACCCTGCCCGGGCTCCCCAGAGACGCCATACAGCCGTGATGCTCCTCTGGGCCTCAGTGTCCCCTCTGGTCCCCCAGTTGTTGGCTACAAGCCTCCAGCAGGGAACGAGGCTCCCCCATCCTCCCACATGGTGGCCAGTCTTGCACTGATGCACAAGATTCACCCTGGCATTGTCCTTCCATAACTTTGCCTTACAGGAAAATGGTGCCATTTTCCGGTTACATTCACAATGTGCTTCCTAGATAGAAGTTGTTCTTGGTGTACCAGAAAAGACTCGCCCTTGTCCATATACACGGGACCAGAAGTGTTCTAGATTTCAGAATTTTCTGGACTTTGAATTTGCCCAGATTGTGAATCAGATAGTCCCCGCCCCCACCCCCCCCACCAAAAAAAAAGCAACATTCAAAATGTTCCCAAACCGGAAACTTCTGCAACATTCTGTCAGCGCTTGGAAGGTTTTGATTTTGGAATGGGGTCGCATGGTGCAGGCTTGTGATCTTAGCTACTCAGGAGGTTGAGGCAGGGGGATGACAGGTTCAAGTTTATTTTAGGACACTGTCTCAGAAAGTGAGAAGAATCGGAAGGGCTGTAGCTCAGTGGTAGAGTGCTTGCCAGTATTCACAAGGTCCTGGGTTCAATCTCCTACATGGCAAGAAAATAAAAAGTTGACTGGCATGATGGCTCAGTGGGTAGAGGCACCTGTCCTACAACCTGAACTTAATCCCTGGCCCCACGTGGTAGAAGAGAGAACTGACTCCAGAAAAACGTCTTCTTATTCCAGATGCATGCTGGGTACCCAGGCATTCACACCTGAAGGCGCGCGCACACACACACACACACACACACACACACACACACACACACACACGCACACACGCACACACACACTAACTAAATGTAAAGATATTTTAAATAATAAAATTGCACATGCCGTTAATTTCAGCACTTGGGAGGCAGAGGCAGATTAATCTCTCTGAGATTGAGGCTAGCCTGGTCTACAGAGTGAGTTCTAGGACAGCCAGGGCTGTGCAGAGAAACCCTGTCTCAAAAAACAAAAAAACAAACAAAAAACCAAACGAAAACAAAACTAACTAAGTTTGGGGAAGCATTTTGGCTTGCAGATTAGGGGTGCCCTGTCTTGTAAATATTACATGAATGAGCAAACAGGTATTACTGGAACGCAGCCCAGACCCTCAGGAAGGAAGGACAGTGACTGAACCTTGGGGGTGGGAAGAGGCACAAAGGCCCTGCCTGCTGAGGTGGGGCCCACGGGGCTGCCAGGTGGAGGCTCAGGGGCTCTAAACATCTCCCGCGGGCTGGCAGGCCCCAGTGCCCCGGCTCAGTGAAGGTGCCTGTCACCAGGCCCGGTCTCTGGTGTGAGAGCCCTGGGAAGAAATGCTTTCCCAGAACGTAGACCTAGGAAGAGAGCACGCACAGGAGCCCCCGGACAGAGGGGAGCCCCCGACAGAGGGGAGCCTGACAACCCAAGCCGAGCAGCACTGGCATCCAGCCTGGCTCCGACGCTGCTCTCCCTCCTCCTCCTCCTCCTTCTCCTCTTCCCACTTCCTCCCTCCTCCCCCCTCCTCCCTCCTCCTCCTCCTCTCTTCCTGTTTCTTTTCCTTGGTCATGCCCGATGCTCCCTTTTCAGTCTGTGTTTGTGTCTTTCCTACTTTTCTGTCTCCTTCAATTTCTGCTTTGCTTCGAGAAGCCTTAATTTCAGACCCACCCAGATGGAAAGCCCCGCCCCAGACTTGACCACCACTGAGCGCTGCTCTGGAGGTTCAGACTTGACCACCACTGAGCGCTGCTCTGGAGATTCAGTGGCAGGTGTGAGCATGGTACCGGGACTGTAATAAAAGAAAAGACTTGATATCCCCACTCCTCGTCTAAAATCCGATGAATAAAAGAATTAGAAGCAAAACCAAACAAGCAGGCCTGTCACTCCCAACCTTTGGGAAGCTGAGGCAGGAGAATGGAAAGTTTGAGACCAGCCCAGGTCCACATACATAATGAAATCTTAATCTCCACAAAAAACAGAAGAGAATAATAGCTTAACCCACGACCCAGACGCTGTCACTCTGGCTGTGTGACTGTGGGGCAGTCACTCAGCCTCTCTGAGCCCCATGTCCTTCCTTCTGTTAGCAGGCGGTCCCAATGGGGAGGCAACAAGATGGCGTATGCACGGTGCCCGGCAGGCAGAGAACCAGGGCCCTCTGGGCCCTGCCAAACACCTCTGTGTTCTTCTTGGGTGGGTTGTCCTGGCTTCTAACAACTAGTTCTTACTTCTTTGGCCTGTGAGTCCCTTCTTGTCCCAGTCAGAGCCAACCACGAGTTCTAGCCCAAGCAAGAGGCGGTTTGCCTGCTGGGGTCCTCGGATGATGACCCTCAGTAACTGACCGCAGCAGTAACTCCATGGTTCCTAGTAACGGTGCCAGCAGGGGTGAGAACTGGGGTTCTGCTGTCCCCCACTGGCTGTGCATAGTGACAGTGGCCCCACAGCCCATGCATGCGAGGACAGCCGTGACTAGGCCAAGAGGAACAGGCCTCCCCTCGCGGCTCCTGCCTGGACCAGCAGGTAGCCCAAACTGCTGGTAACTAACTGATAGAGTGCCCTGGGCGTAGCAGGGACAGAAGAGTTCAAGGCAGGAGACAGTGTACGGTGGCCCTGTGGAAGACTTGGGTCTTTCTGCTGAGGGATCCGTGGAACATCTTGACAAGCACAGACTAGCTGGGCGGTGCATGGGTCTGAGGATACAGGAGGCTGGCATTAGCTTCCCCACACAGACCTGGGGAATGGCTATCCATAGCTCCCAATGGAAGCCGGTAGGATTCTGCAGGGGAGCCTCCGGCTGGGGTAGAAGGGAGGCGGTGTCTTCCCCTGACACCGAGGACCCCTGGATCTTCTCTCTCCCAGGCTTGAGGGTGCGAGAGGTGCAGATCGAGGTGTCGCGGCAGCAGGTGGAGGAACTCTTCGGGCTGGAGGACTATTGGTGCCAGTGTGTAGCCTGGAGCGCTTCGGGAACCACCAAGAGTCGCCGAGCCTACATCCGCATTGCCTGTATGCTGCCCCGATTCCGATTCCCCCGCTCCATCTCCCCGCTGCTGTCAGAGAGAGAAACACCTGCTTAGGGACAGCCATGTGTGCATGCCAGCCCCCGTGGGCTCTTAGACCCAGAAGCCAGGCCCCCTCAGACCTGAGGGTTTCCAGCAGCCCTTGCCACCTCTGAAAGGAAGGCTGAGCTTCTAGGCCAGGTCCCAGAGTCAGGGAGGGGGGCCTCTTTCCCCAGGTGAAGGGAGCCTGTAATATAAATCCTTAGGTATATTCTGCCCCCTAGTGGCCACCATGGGCACTTCATGTTCCCATCCTTCTCTTGATACACTTTGAACTCTTCTTCTCCCAGACCTGCGCAAGAACTTTGACCAGGAGCCTCTGGCAAAGGAGGTGCCGTTGGATCACGAGGTCCTTCTGCAGTGCCGCCCGCCCGAGGGAATACCTGTGGCTGAGGTGAGGGGGACGTGGCCAGCCAGGCCGGGCACTTCTCAGCAGCTGGAATGCCACAGCCTCTAGACCTCCGTCTGTCTGCCTCTCCCTCTGCTCTCCACTCACACCGGACCTTGTCCAGCCCTCCGTAGGTGCAGCCTCACAGGAAGAGAACCCCGGGGCTCCTTGGGTAGGCCCCAGGTCTAGTCTCCGACACCCCCACGTGGCACAGACCCAGGAAACCATACTTGTAGGTTTCGGTGCGTGCGCTCAGGTGTCCACCCCATCAGCCAGACACCACCTTCCCCTTTCCCCACGCATGCCCTACACTGGTGGAGAAGTTCAGAGGAGGACATGATGTAGCTTTGCAGCAAAGGACAGGCCTCTTACTCAGGACTCAGCTGTCAAGCCCCCAGACTTTGTACTGGTCACCTAGGCTTCTTCTTGTGCCCTCCTGGGCACAGTGGGCACAGTGGGCACCTGGGTGGTGATTGCTACCTTTGGGGCTTTGGTCTCTTTAGCACCCCTGCGATGTGGGCAGAGCCACCCCGTTAGAGATGCGAGGGGTGGTGTGACCACCTGGATTGTGACCGGTAGTGAGGAGCGGAGCTGAGGGTTGAACCTAGGGGTCCTGCTGTGGGGGGGGGGGGCGGGGAAGCTGCAGCTTTGAGCAGCTTGGGGGTTGGGGCATAGACACTGGCAGCCTGTACATGTTTGGTACTTCTCTGAGCCCAGCATGCCACATTCACCCCTGCCCCATGGGGTGGGTTGTAGCAGGAATCTTAGAAGGTCTTATTAATAAAAATCAAACCTGAGGCCAGTTATTGGGGTGAACTCTGGAAGATCAGAGAAACAGAACAAGCCACAGCTAACCTCACCTGGCCTCAGCTGACCCTGTTTCCTCAGACTGGAAGCTTCTGAGTCCTCATTCAAATGGGTCTCAGCTGAACTGTGCTGCTAGAAGCCTGGAAGCTTAACCAGCCAAATGCTTCTAGTTTCTGGTCCTCACACCTTATATACCTTTCTGCTTTCTACCATCACTTTCTGGGATTAAAGGCGTGTGTCACCATGCCTGGCTGTTTCCAATGTGTCCTTGAACTCTCAGAGATCCAGAGGGATTTCTGCCTCTGGAATGCTAGGATTAAAGGCGTGAGTGCCACCATTTTCTAGCTTTTGTATCTAGTGGCTGTTCTGTCTCTGACTCCAGAAGAGTTTATTAGGGTGCACAATACTTTGGGGAACACAATACCACCACAGTGGGTGCTGTTCAGGGTCCATCTTAGAGCACCCTGGGTCTCCCAAGATCGCTCCGCTGGTAAATGATGTGCCCCACGGTGGTGCTGGTACCTGCTGCTGCCGGGTGTGAACCTGGGTGTGGATATAGGCAGGGTGGGGTATTCTAGTTATGCTTGGACCCCCCCCTCCTTCCCTCTGCAGGGGGCCCATCCCCAGTGCCAGCAGGCAGACCATGAGCCCCCCACTGCTCCCCTCCACAGGTGGAATGGCTCAAGAACGAAGATGTCATCGACCCCACTCAGGACACCAACTTCCTGCTCACCATTGACCACAACCTCATCATCCGCCAGGCTCGCCTGTCGGACACAGCCAACTACACCTGTGTGGCCAAGAATATTGTGGCCAAGCGCCGGAGTACCACCGCCACAGTCATTGTCTACGGTATGGATGTGCCGGGGTTATCCTAGGTGCCCTCTATGGTGGGAGCTCTCTCTAGGGTGCTAGGGGGAGGCCTGCAGTACATCCCACCTATCCTGACCTCCAGGAGGCCGGTGGGCCCCCTGAACTGTGTGGAGAAGCAATCTAGAGAGATAAGTGGCCAAGTCAGGCACTCTGGGTCCACTCCCCTATTTCTCAGGGCCCTTAGCCATCTCTAAAAAAAAAACCACCTACTTCTTCTTAGTCAGGCCCAAGGCAGCGTCACAGCCAGATCCCCACACTCGGGTCATTTTGTCCCAGTAGGGGTATGGGTGCTACCCAGACTGTTCTCTGCTCTTTCTTTGGGCCCAAGGATGGAGGGAAGAACCATAGTGGCAGTGAATCCCTCTCCTGGAATTCAGTCCCAGGCCAAGACCCAGGTACCCCATCACACATTGGGTGGCCTTGGTTAAGTGTTAACCTTCTAGTCTTCCTGTGTTACTGTGCAATAAGCCAATAGTCAGTAACCTCCTAAACCCTTTCAGGTGCCCAGCCCCACAGGTGAAGGGTTCCAACCAGAGTGGCTGGGTTAGTAAAGTTGGGTGATGGGTTTGAAAGACCTGGAGAAACCCAGATCCAGGCTAACTGTGTGATGACCCATCCCTCCAGTGAATGGTGGCTGGTCCAGCTGGGCAGAGTGGTCACCCTGCTCTAATCGATGTGGCCGAGGCTGGCAGAAGCGTACGCGGACCTGCACCAACCCGGCCCCACTCAATGGAGGTGCCTTCTGTGAGGGACAGGCCTTCCAGAAGACAGCCTGCACCACCGTGTGCCCAGGTAGGAGCCACAAGCCCTTCTAGGCTCCCCTGCCTCTGGGATGTCTATAAAGTTGGGGCGGCACCTTCCCCCTGAGCAACAAGGAGTCCAGACCCCGGGTCTTCAGCATGCTCTGTAGTCTGTAGTGTCGGATTCTGTCCCAGACTGCTGGAGAGCTGGCAGCGAGCTGAAGCTAAATGGGGCTCCTGACTTTGAGAACTGCTGGGGTCCCCAAGAGCTTGCTGTGTGTATCTGTTGGGATGCCTATTGGCCACAGATGTTCGTCCTATTAACAGCCTCCTCCCTGAGCCAGTAACCTTAAGTATCTTTGTTAAAGTCCGCTGAGTGCATCTAGCTGCCCCTAGCCTGTGGCTGTGCGGATACGGTGTAGATTTACTGACTGGCCTGCACATATGTTGCATGCATGCATGTGTAGGTGCATGTGTGCATTGCTGTTACTGTCTCTGTGTTGCTGTTGGCATGCAATAACTGCGCGCGTGCTGTGTCCCCGCAGTGGATGGAGCGTGGACGGAGTGGAGCAAGTGGTCAGCCTGCAGCACAGAGTGCGCGCACTGGCGCAGCCGGGAGTGCATGGCGCCCCCACCTCAGAACGGAGGTCGGGACTGCATCGGAACGCTGCTGGACTCCAAGAACTGCACCGATGGGCTGTGCGTGCAGAGTGAGTGCTCTGGAGTCAGGTGACAGACCCCTCTGCCCCTGCCCAGCCTTGAGCCACTGTGCCCACCCAGAGCAGAGCAGCCCGTAGGGCGTCTGTTCGCCGCTCCCTCCCACATCCTTCATCTCATCCGTACCGTGACCCCCATCACCTCGTCTGCCATCCTTTATCTGTCATCCATGTCATTGTCTCCCCCTTTATTTCCCTTGACAGATAAGAGAACTCTAAACGACCCTAAAAGCCACCGTAAGTCCCATTTCATGATTGTCCTCTTTCTTCTGGGGATCCCTGGCTCTCCTCGGCTGGCTTTCCATGGGTGTGGGGTGCAAGGCAGGGAGAGTTGATGCCATTTCCCACACCCCCACACCCCCAGTACAACCCCATAGGATCCCTCCACCTCATGCATCTTGCCACACTCCCATCACAGAGAGGCAAGCAGACTCTTGGCTGACAGAAAGGCCCCAGGACTCCCCTTACCCTCCTGTTAAAGAATAGGACACTGAATCTCAGAGAGGAGAAGAAATCTGTCCAAGGAACAAACCAGGAAGGTAGCAGAGCCAGAACTTGAACCCAGATATTTCTGTGGCCAGAGCAGATGGTTTTAATCATTGTCCCTCCTCTCCGAGACATGCCGGGAGACAGTGTCCTGTCTGTCCCACATTGTACCCCTAGCAGCTGGGCCACCCCTCCCAAGTTAACTCTGGCGAGAGTGGTATTGCTCTGATTCAGCTCCCGGGTGACTTCTCTCCTGCCCCTCGGGCCCTTGCCGCTGCGACTGCAATATCAGAGCAACACAGCCACTCCCTCAGACTGGGGCCTGTGGTAATTAAAGAGCAATTTCAGATCATTCTGGAATCATAAAACCTGCAGGGAAGTCTTCAGCCCAGCACCCCGAGAGGCCAGGCCCGTGGCTGACTAGGAAGTATAAATCGCCAATCAAGTGGCCCCCAGTGTGAGTGAGGAGGACGGGAGAGTATCTGAGCCAAGCTTAGGGAAGAGCCTGCTCCTGCTGGGGCAGCAGCCTCCGGAGAGGGAGGAGGTCAGCCCTGAGGACGAGTCTCTAGTAGCTCCCTGGTTGCCAGGATGCTCTAGGGAGCCCTTAGTGAGGACTGCTGAGTAGAAAGGCAGTGTGGAAATGAGCAGGTGCCCAGAGCAGGAAGCCACGGCCTCCCATGCTAGGAGGCCTGGGCTCACCCACGGGTGCGGAAGGCCGGCCGGGCGTTGGAACGCAGGCTGCCTCTCCCAGAGTTCCCCACTTTTCACGAGACATGAGTGCCACTTGGAGCTCCCAAAAGAAGCAAGGTCAAAGAACACCTGCCTGGTGGCCCCTCCATCTTGGCTGTGCCTGAGCCAGCTGACGTGAAGGTCGCTCACCCCAGGTGGCTTTTAAAATTCATATTTCACTTAATTAGAAGGAAATTCATTAAAACACACAGCTCCTCAGTTGCGCCGGTCACATTTCAGTTCTCAGTCGCTGCCTATGTCTGCTTGAGTGCACAAGGGACGGTGTGTGGACGGGATATTCCTGTCCTCCTAGAACGGTCTGTGGACCCTGCCTCTGACCTTCCCAGATTCCTGCCTGGCAATAAGTAGTTATTTGCAACCACAGCCCCCTGCTGGAGGAAGGAGGTGTCGCCGTGGGTGGCCTCCCCCAGTTCACCTCTTTTCATCCATCTGCCCATCGCCTCTCCATCCATTGCTTTGCCTCTCACGCCACCTCTCCCGCCCTCTCCACCTCCCATCCTTGGCATGGCCGAGGAGACTGCTTAAGGAGGTTTCGGGGAGCCAGGGCCTTCCATCATAGGGAAGTCGTAGGCCCGGAGCGAAGCTTTGTCATTTAGGTGGAATTGTGTGCCCGCGTGTTTCCGAGCCTCACACCCCTGGCTCCTCAGCTTGTGAATCGGACCTAAAATTGGTTCTGTTACCTTCAACACTATCCTAAGAGGATGGGCTGGGGTTGGGGATTTAGCTCAGTGGTAGAGCGCGCTAGGCAAGGCCCTGGGTTCGGTCCTCAGCTCTGGAAAAAAAAAAAAAAAAAGAAGAAGAGGATGGGCATTAGGGCAGGGATTTTATGACAGTGTATGGGAGGAAGAGACTCCTGGGGGTGTGAAACTTCACCTGGGGGCGGGTGAAGCCTGGAACCTAGATTTTCCTTGGGACCCTCAGGGGCCCACCCCTCACTGAACTCTACTGCTTCTACAGTCCTGGAACCCTCGGGAGATGTGGCGCTGTATGCAGGCCTCGTGGTGGCCGTCTTCGTGGTTGTGGCAATCCTCATGGCCGTGGGCGTGGTCGTGTACCGAAGAAACTGCCGGGACTTTGACACGGACATCACTGACTCCTCAGCTGCCCTCACTGGCGGCTTCCACCCTGTCAACTTCAAGACCGCGAGGCCTAGTAAGGACCTGGAGGAGCCTGGGGTGGCAGGCACGGTTGGGGGCGGGGGAGGGACACGACCGCAGAGCAGTGGAGCTGTCTCGAGAGCTGTGGGGTCCTGACAGCCTCTTGGTTTGTTTCTCCATTTGTCTCAAGCTCCCGGTGGCAGGTGGCAATTGAGCCGTCTGTGGTTAGACCTGTGGAGAGGGCAGAGGGCCAGATCGGAGGGAACAGAGTAGGCAGGGCCAGTGTGGTGATGGGTAGGGAAGGTGAGTCTTAACTGTCACGTTCACCCCTGCAGACAACCCACAGCTCCTGCACCCGGCCGCCCCTCCAGACCTGACAGCCAGCGCCGGCATCTACCGTGGGCCCGTGTACGCCCTGCAGGACTCCGCCGACAAGATCCCGATGACGAATTCGCCCCTGCTGGATCCCCTGCCCAGCCTCAAGATCAAGGTCTATAACTCCAGCACCACCGGCTCTGGATCTGGCCTGGCTGATGGAGCCGACCTGCTGGGTGTCCTCCCGCCCGGCACGTACCCAGGCGATTTCCCCCGGGACACCCACTTGCTGCACCTGCGCAGTGCCAGCCTTGGTTCCCAGCAGCTCCTGGGCCTGCCTCGAGACCCCAGCAGCAGCCTCAGCGGCACCTTTGGTTGCCTGGGTGGGAGGCTGAGCATCCCTGGCACAGGTAGGCCCGTGGTCCTGTTCGTCGCTCAGATGGGAAAAGCGGAGCTCGGGGCAGATTATACTTAGAGAAGTCTGGTCGAAGACCTGAGATCAGACCTGCCTGGGCCTCTCGAGGTCAGGGAACGTCTTGGGTCAACCCCTTGGAGGGGGCCTCGCCGCCCCCGTCAGGTTGGGAGAATGGCTCTTATCGTTAAAAGTCCCACAGAGAGAGCCCAGTTTTGAGAGACAGCAGGCCAGGGGTACTCGTCTCAACTTGTGCAAGTGTCAACTGGCTGCTTTTCAGAGTGCTATCCTAAGCCAGCATGGAACAAGCACAGGGCCTTCTGACACTCCTCCCCCCCCTCCCCCCCCCCACCCCCACCCCAGCAATGTTAGAAACTCCTGTATTCCTGGGCATACCAGCTATGGCTGAGTGACCTGGCTACTCCCTATATCTGGTGCCCCCCGCCCCCCTTCCCCAATCTAGAGTCTTTCCGGAACTTCCCTAAGCTGGAGCCAGGTCCCACCCCATTCTTCTCATCGCCTCTACTTCCTCCGGCCTCCTTCCTGACGACCTTTCCCTTCCTCCCTAGGGGTCAGCCTGTTGGTGCCAAATGGAGCCATCCCCCCGGGCAAGTTCTATGAGATGTATCTACTTATCAACAAAGCCGAAAGCACCCTGTGAGTAGACGCTCCAACCCTGGCCAGGCAGCGTCACCTTCTCCTCTGCCCACACCGGGCACAGATATTTCTATATGCCCCTTGGAGCTTGGTCCCCAGTGCCCGGGGGTCCCCCGGAGAAAGCGTGTTCTAAATGGGTAAAACCCGGCAGTAGCAAACCTTCCTGTATAAAGGGGACTTATCAATGAGTGCACTGCTTACTGTCCCGTGGCTGTGGCGAATGCCTGATAAGAACTTAAGGAGGTGGCATTGATTTGGGCTCACCGTAGTGACAGCCCCTCTGACTGTGGTCACGGGAGCGTGACGCATCCGTGGTCGGAACTGGAGAGGGCCAAGCACCGGTGTCCCAGGGTTCCCCTTTCCTTTTCATTCAGTCTGGGTCCGTAGCCCACAGGATATGCTGCCCACCTTCAGAGTAGGTCTCTCCTCCTACTTATCCCTCTCTGCGGCACCCTCACAGGCAGGCATGTCAGGGGTTGCATCTCTTCCATGACCCCAAATCCAGTCAAGTCCACAGAGAAGATTAACTCACAGCTAGTAAGAAAAATGGAATGTCTCAGCTCGAACACGGGCCTTAGAATATGAACAAGGGATTCACACGTACACACGCCGTGTGCGTTGTTCATGAGAGGTCATTCCATCTGAATGGTGGTCACAGACAGTTAATGAAACAACCTGGAGAGACATGAAGAAGTGTTCTGCTTAAGGAACCTGCAAGGATGTTTTCCCTCATGCTAATACCGTCTTGCCTCCAAGAACACGGGCACATGCCCTTTCTGACACACTGGTGATTAGAACCAGCTCTCCCGAGGGTAGTGTAAACGGCATGCAACCCTGTTGCCCTGGCTGTCTTGGAACTCACTATGTAGACAGGCTGGACTTGAACTCAGATCAGCCTCAGCCTCCCCGAGTGCTGAGATGAAGGGTATGCACCACTATGGTTTGGTTTATGGTCTCAAATGGTCGTGTGTCCCCTGTCCTCCCCCCCCCCCCCCAGACAGCATCTCCCTATATACTCCCCAGGCTGGCCTCAAACTTAGAGATCCATCTACTCCTGCCTCCTGAGTGCTGGGATTAAAGATATGTGCCATGCCCAGCTCATTCTGGTTTCTGAATCTTTCATTCTCTCTCCCACCCTCACCCCACCTTTTTTTTTTTTTTAAGATTTATAATGTAGTTTTCTGTCTGCATGTGTCCTTGCAAGCCAGAAGAGGGCACCAGATCTCATTACAGGTGGTTGTTGCTGGGACTTGAACTCAGGACCTCTGGAAGAGCAGTCAGTGCTCTTAATCACTGAGCCATCTCTCCAGACTGTGTTTTGTTTTGTTTTTGTGTTTTGGTTGATTTGTTTTAAAAAAAGTAAAGGAAGACCAGAATGTTATGTAAAACCCCAGACCTTTGAGGCTGGGCAAAGCTTTGGAAGAGACTGTTTGGACGTAACAGCAAAACCTAGAACGTAATTCCCCGTGTAGACCACATCCCTACTTCCCACCGCTGTGATGCCTGGCAGCCCCAGTCCCCGTCCGTGTCCCCCCCCCCCCCCCAGCAGCAGAGACTTGCCTTGGCACAGGCCCTGAGTGGAGGGGGGGGCCCTGCAGGAGTGAAGTGTGCCCCTGCTGTGTGGGTCCTTCCGGCTTTTGTTCACTGCCTCCCTCTGCCCTCCCCCTAGCCCGCTTTCGGAAGGGTCCCAGACAGTATTGAGCCCCTCGGTGACCTGTGGCCCCACGGGCCTCCTCCTGTGCCGCCCTGTCATCCTTACTGTGCCCCACTGTGCTGAAGTCATCGCCGGAGACTGGATCTTCCAGCTCAAGACCCAGACCCATCAGGGCCACTGGGAGGTGAGGCGCCGGGGTGGAGTGGCTGACCCCTCAGAACGGCTCCTCTCCTGACTGATCCCAGCCCAGAGGACGACATCCTCTCCTCCCCCTGTATAGGAGGTGGTGACCCTGGATGAGGAGACCCTCAACACCCCCTGCTACTGCCAGCTGGAGGCTAAGTCCTGCCACATCCTGTTGGACCAGCTGGGCACCTACGTGTTCACGGGCGAGTCCTATTCGCGCTCGGCAGTCAAGCGGCTCCAGCTGGCCATCTTTGCCCCAGCCCTCTGCACCTCCCTGGAGTATAGCCTCAGGGTCTACTGTCTGGAGGACACGCCTGTGGCATTGAAGGTAGGAGCATGTGGGGGCACTGGCCGGGGCATCGGCACAGCCCCGTCATCAGTGGCTCCCCTCCCAGGGTGCATGGTCCCTGCCAGGCATCTTTCTGGCACCAGCCTCCCGTCAGCCAGTAGTCACTCTTCTTGTCATCAGATATCATCAGAACAGCACCGGACTCTCAGACAGGGGTGGCGGCCACGGCTCCTGACTCGGGGCTGGAGGTGGGGGACAAGCAGGGAAATCTCTTTTGAGGAGTTTGAGAAAGTGGACCTCAGACCAACTCTGGGTCAGTCTGGGTAGAGAAGAGGAAAGGTATTTCTAACCAGCAGAGAGACTTTCTGCCAAAACAGGTGTGCAGCTCAGCATGTGCAGAGAGTGTGGAGGGAGTGTGTACGTGTGACCGTGTAAGTGAGAGAGAGAGGGCTGGAGAAACGAGCCGCTTGTTAGTAAGCTCGGGTCATGCTCAGTGCCTGGGATGCTGTCCAGGGGCAAGGGGCCCAGCTGTAGCAGATCCCTGCTCACAGGTGCTCTGTAGAACGGTCTGCAGCTATGGTGTGTGTGTGTGTGTGTGTGTGTGTGTGTGTGTGTGTGTGTGTGTGTGTGTGTGTGTGTTGGTAAACCTGAGACAAAGGCCAGCTGGGAAGCTGGGGCTAAGTCCCAGACAGCAGGCAGTGGCCAGGAGATGAGGCTGGACCTTGTGGTTGGTCAGTAGGATGGACAGACCAGGGACTGATGGGATGAGCGAGCCTAGCCCAGACTTCTAACAGACACAAAGAAAAGCCCATGGAGACCGGAAGTGAGGGAGAAGCAAGGGGCAGATGAGGAGATGTTAGGCAGAGATGGAAGGGGATAATAATATTGGCAGATGTGGAGCCCAGTGTAGGTACCGCCTGTCGTACCTGTCTCAAAGTCACTGTCCCTTTCCCAGGTCCTCAGTCTCATTCTAGCATGATACTGGAGGGTATAGAGTTGGCTCTCTTCTCCATCCTTCCAGCAGCCCTCTGAGAAGCCTCATAGTTCTTCCGGACAGACCGGATGGACGGATGCTTCCTCCCGACCCTGACTTGGGGTCTCTGCTAGTCATGTCTCTGAGGCTCATGTGGCTTTCTCAAGCTCCGTGCTGGAGACTGATGCAACACAGACAAAAAGGCCTTGGGGGGGGGGATATCCCCTGTGGGAACTGGACTACCCTGACATTCCAAGAGGCCTCCCAAAGGGGTGGGGTCCTGCTGTCAGTCTCCGGCAGCTGGATCTGGTGGCATCGGTGCTGGCTAGTGTTGGTCCTGGCCAGAGGGTGGTGTGAGGATCGACAGGAAGCAGCCACGTTCTGGCCTGATTGCGTTCTTTACTTGTTCAAGCCTCATCTGTTCACCCTTCCTTCCCACGGCCTTTTTGCTCTTACCATACACTCTTAACTGTACACGTCAACAGCCTACGTGGCCATCCAGCTACTACCCATCTCTTCACTCAGGTATCTTTTCCTTCCAAATGTTCTATTCATATACCTACTCCTTTGTATATCTGCTTATCTGTTTACCCACCTAACCCACACATCTATCCAGTGATCCATTCAATCATCTGTCCTTCCATCCATTCATCATCTTTGTGTTTACCCATTCATATACTCAGTATCCTAACTATATACATCTATACATTTATCTAATTCTCCTTCCAAGCTCCTGTTACACATGTGTTCTCTATATGCATCTATCTCTCTGTCTGTCCACCCATATATCATCTATCCAGTTTACTGATTATCTGTTTATCCCCCATAGCCTGTAAGCCTGTCTGTCTTTCTGTCTGTCTGTCTATCTATCTATCTATCTATCTATCTATCTGTCTGTCTGTCTGTCTGTCTACCTACCTATCCATCCATCATCCATCTACCCACCCATTTTCCATTCATCCACTCATGTATCTGCTCATCCATTCGTCTGAAGCACCTTCTTAATTGGATCACATGGGTCTGGCCCCAGACTAGCAACTTGCAGTATAAAAGACCCCTGGGCCAAGGGTAACAAGCCCCTCCCACTGCCCCGTCAACAGGAAGTGCTGGAGCTGGAGCGGACTCTGGGCGGCTACTTGGTAGAAGAGCCCAAGCCTTTGCTCTTTAAGGACAGTTACCACAACCTGCGCCTCTCCCTCCACGACATCCCCCATGCCCACTGGAGAAGCAAGCTACTGGCCAAGTACCAGGTGAGCACTGGACCTGGGGAGGGGCGGGGAGGGGTGAGGAGGGTCGAGGAGGAACCACTGCTCCATCCCTTGTAGTGACGCAAGCATTGTTTCCCGGGTCTCTCATCCCTGTCCTGTTTCCCCAGTCTATTGTCCTCCATGTTTCCAGCCATCTTCAGGCCCAACCCTAAATTCTGTGCCAGTGACAGCCACGTCTGCAGCCCCTCTTGCACATCCCCCCCCCCAATACCCATGCCTATCACATCCTCAGGACCTTTAGACTGCACATTGCTGGGCTGGGGCCACGCCCGTCTAAACAAATACAAGCCTTGCAGACTAACTCTGCTTACCGCTGCACTCATGGTCCTCTGTTCCATTCTGCAGTATGTGCCACCATGGAGGCCCTACCTAGGCTCCATGCTCCAGCTCATGTATACCCGCTGACACACACACACACACACACACACACACACACACACACACACACACACACACTCCGGTCTTCCCTTCCCATACAGGCCCATTTCTCAACTCCCTCCCAGAACCACCATTTAGCTAGCCAGCTTCCCCTACTCTAAGAACATCCCGCAGAGAGTCCTGAACTGCCCCCAGAGGCCCAGCTCTCCCTGAGGCTGGTCCCCACCCACTTCTGGCAAATGCCTCCTCTCTCCTGCAGCCCTGACCACTGACCTACCCTACCTCTCCTGCAGGAGATTCCCTTCTACCACATCTGGAACGGCAGCCAGAAAGCCTTGCATTGCACCTTCACCCTGGAGAGGCACAGCCTGGCCTCCACCGAGTTCTCCTGTAAGGTCTGCGTGCGGCAGGTGGAAGGGGAAGGCCAGATCTTCCAGCTGCACACCACGCTGGCCGAGGTGAGGGTCGGTGACAGCCCCCTCAAGTCACAGCAGGGACCTGGTCACCTCGAGCGAGCGAGCGACCATCCCTTCACTTACTGAGCACTGTTCCCACGGCATATATTACCAGATCCAAGTGTCACACCCACAGGGAGAGGGGTTGTCGTGGTCCCCGGTGTGGGAGATGAGTCTCAAGGCTGGGGGGCTGGGGTTCACTTGTCAGGGTACTTGCATAGCATGCATGGTGTCTTGGGCGACACCATCAAATAAAGCAGGCACGGTGGTGTACACCTGTACTCCCAACCCTTGGGATGTGGAGGCAGGAGGATCCAAGGCCATCTTCAGCTACATTGTGAGTTTAAGGATAGCCTGGGCTACCTGAGACCCTATCTCAAAAAAAAAAAAAAAAAAGTCTTAGGGTCTTAGGGAAGGGAATATCATTAAGGACTGGCCTGTGGTTCCCAACCGCTAACTCCAAACTGAGCTTTAGACAAAGCCCCCTAAGATGAAGTAGAAAGCACTCAAGCCAGCTCTCCCCCAGGTAGGTCGCCTGTCCTCTCTAGTCTCTGCTTTCTACCTGTATCAGGGCTGGTCTTTTTTTTTTTTTTTTTTGGTTTTTTCAAGACAGGGTTTCTCTGTGTAGCTTTGCACCTTTCCTGGAGCTCACTTGGTAGCCCAGGCTAGCCTTGAACTCACAGAGATCCGCCTGGCTCTGCCTCCCGAGTGCTAGGATTAAAGGCGTGCGCCACCGACGCCCGGCTGAGGGCTGGTCTTCTTCATGGCCTAGGCCATGGCTATGACTCCTGGGGCTTCCTCTTCCCAAGGCTGAGTCAGCGTGTGCCCAGGGCTGATCCCAAGTAAGATCATACCCGATACGGGGCCCCGAGCCACCCTTGCTAGAGATGACCTAGAGGAGACAGAGGTGAGCGTAGAGCCCAGGGCATCCATGGGTGCTGGCTAGGCGAGCACTCGACCAGTTAATCTACAGCCTCAGCCCTTCAGTCCCTATCCAGGCAGGGAGACGGGATGAGCTCCTGTCCATCACCGGCTGTATCACTCTCCTCCCGACCCTTCCAGACGCCTGCTGGCTCCCTGGATGCGCTCTGCTCTGCCCCTGGTAATACTGTCACCACCCAGCTGGGACCCTATGCCTTCAAGATACCACTGTCCATCCGCCAGAAGATCTGCAACAGCCTGGACGCCCCCAGCTCACGGGGCAATGACTGGCGGCTGCTGGCACAGAAACTCTCGATGGACCGGTGAGTATCCCAAGCCACGGTCACCTCTGTTGTCCCCGTATCCCAGCAGACCAAGGCCAGCTCCCCAGCTCCGATCCCCTCGTGCCGTCATCAGTGACAGATCCACAGCTGGGTTTGTATGCACGGAGGTCACTGTCCCCCTGCTCAGTGTCCCTCTCAGAGACGAGGCCTGTGAGCCAGGTGGGCTTTGAGTGACCGCCTCACTATCCTCGAAGCCCTGCTCTTCCACAGCGTAGGCAAACGCTTCCTTGCCCATACCAAGGGCAGACCCAGCCCTGACACCAGGTAGCCATGGCCGCTACCAGCGTCTCGGTGCCCAGGCTCTTTTAGGGTACTCTGAATGCCAGGGATACATGGTGGAAGTGTTACATGGTCACTTGCTGGAAATTCTTATCCACTGGCCTTGAGCAGGTATAAAAGATGATTCGGACAGTGAAGCGCTCGCCTCATACGCATGAGGACCTGAGTTCAATCCCCAGAACCCACGTCAGAATGCCAGGCATGCTGACACACACTTACATTCCCAGCACTGGGGAGACAAGAGACAGGAAGATCCCCGGGATGTGCTAGCCAGCCAGTCCGGCTGAATAGTGAGCTCCTGGCCAGTGAGAAACCCTGCCTCCAATGAGGTGGGCGGTGTAGCTCAGGATGACACAGGAGATTGTCCTCTGACCCACGCACACGTACACGTTAAAAATTAATTTTTAAAAAACAACTGGTTCCTCGAAAGGGGAGGGGCTGAGAAAGATGGATGAGACTCCGCTCCGACCCTCAGTGGAGCTTGTCCTGGGGGATCAGGCCCAGAATGAAAGTGAATGTCAGAGAATTGTGTAGCATGACCGCTTGGGAGGTCTCTCAGGGTCCCCGCATCTTTTGATGAGGGTGATTTGGGTGAGCTTGGACCTCATCGGCAGTGTGAGCGGCTGTAGGAGTCAACTCTTTCCCACTGTGGAGTTCATCAGGCCGTTTAAAGGGACCCCGGCCCACAGTTCCAGAGGCTTTGGCTCCTGCTCAGCTTTTGCCGATGCTGTACGTCAGAGCTGAGCACTGTGGCGGGAGGGGGTAGGGGTCGGGGCTACGATGGAGCAAAGTCACCTCAGAAGTAGACCGGAAGGGCCAGGGCAGGACACACCCCAGCGTGACCGGTTTCTTCCATCATGTCCCGCCTCACCTTCCACCGTGTTTGAGATGGGGGGTCTCTTGATTCTTCTGCCTGTGTGCTGGCCTAGCCCAGGAGCTTCCAGGGACTCCCTTGTCTCTGCTCCCTGAGGTGGGGTGCTCAAGGAACGCTGGGATTATAGACATTCGCACTATGCATATGGCTTTTATGTTGGTTCCAGGGACTTGAACCCGAGTCCTCACATTGACCCATGGAACTGTCTTGCCAGCCCTTAATCAGATGTTGAATCCCTCCATGGGTTTATCTGTTGGTGAATGTACAGGCTTGGGGCCCAGGCACTTGTTCAAAGCCCCACCTCAAAAAAACACTGCTTGTAGATCAGGCCGTTCATCCACGAGCCTTTTCAGGAATACTGCATCCCAGACTCTAACAGGAGATAACTGACGTTTGTTCCTATTTTGGAGATGGGATGAGTCTTAGAGGCTGCACTGATGTGCATGGGGCTGTACAGCTTGCAGTCGGAGGACCTGGGATTCAGACCCAAGGCTGTTGGGACTCTAAAGTCTTCTCACCACCTGGATCTTCCCAACTCACCGGCAGATCACCTCAGGGAAGCCAACATTTCTCTTTTTTTCCAACAGGTACCTGAATTACTTCGCCACCAAAACTAGTCCTACAGGCGTAATCTTGGACCTCTGGGAAGCTCAGCAGCAAGATGATGGGGACCTCAACAGCCTGGCCAGTGCCTTGGAGGAGATGGGCAAGAGTGAGATGCTGGTAGCCATGGCCACTGATGGGGACTGCTGAGTGCTTGTGACCACAGGCCAGCTGGGACCAGTATGCGGCAGTATGAGACAGTGTAAGGAGGCCTAGCAGCCTCTCCATGGGGGTGTCCAGCCTCCGCCATCCCTGGCTCACGGCTGGAACAGTCCCTCACCCCCCTTCTCTGCCACAACCCTCAGACCACCACCAGCCTTAGAAAACCTCTATGCTCTACTGCTGAGAGGCCAGGATCCGCTGCCTCACCGTTTCCTGGCTCACACTGGGATGGGCTGAGGCCTCTGGGGCAGCCTAAGGCCAGAGACTTTCCCCCCGACGCCAACAACCCACCACCCTCAGGCCTGTGACTTTGGGGGCTCACAGTTTTCCATTCTGTGTTCACATCGTCTTTTGCTAGGGATGTCTCTCTTATTCCTGGTCCTCTTTGAAAGGTTGAGTTTAGTTCAGACAAACTGCTGTCTCCTATCTACAAGCAAAAAAAAAAAGGAAGGAAGAAAGAAAGAATGAACACTTCATAAGTCAGTGAGCAAAAACCACAAGGGAAAAAAAAACCCAGTTTCTTAGGAAACGCAAGTGATTTATTATCCAGATACTTGGATAGTCCTTTTTAAGAAAAAACAAACAAACAAAAAACAAAAAAGTAAGAAAAGAAAAAAGGGGGGTGGCGTGGGGCAGGGGGACTTTTATTCTCCAGTGTGGTTAAGAGTGGGTATGCTTGTGGCCTGGACCACAGGCGAGCGAATTCATGGGCACATGTGTGCACATATGTGTACGTGTGCGCATGAGTGTGGTCCGGCAAAGACCGCACAGGGAAATGCTTTGCTCCTCCTGAATCCATTGTGGACTGGATTCCGACAAGGCCTCCGTTTCCCCAGCTTTGCAGGGAGCTGGTATGAAGTTTGAGCCATGGCACTGGGCTCTAAATCTCACGTGGAAGCTGGGGCCTGGTGGTCCTCAGACCCCCCAGGCAGATGCCCTTCTGTGGCCTCCTGGGTTTCTGAGAATCTGGATGGATGCCCAGGCTGGCTGTGACCTGGGGAGACTGTTCAGGTCTTTCTTACCCTGGAGGTTTCTGGTCTAGTAATGTGGCCCAGAGGTGAGGCTCCTGCAGAGAGCGGGGGAGGGGTCCTCCAGGTTCTCAGGCTGGATGGCTTTGTGTCTAGGTGGGCACTGGCCAGTCCGCACCCCTGCGCCTCTGGTCCTCCGTTCGCCCACTCGCTCCCCTGCTGGGGTCAGGAGATGTGAAGGTGGCCTTTGCTAAGTGGACGCCTTCACTCTTGGCCACAGCCTGGGATTTGAAAGTTGGAGCTTCTTCAGGGGGAGCAGGTTTCCTGGCCACAGACCCAGCAAGCGTCTGTGTCCTGGCTTCCCTGCCGCAGGTCCTGAGGTGGGGCTCTGAGACTGAGACCAAGGTGCCCCTGGCACCTAGGTAAACACTGCCTCAGACAGTGGCCCCTCAGCTCTTCCTGCCAAAGATGCCCATCCCTGTGGACATGACCTTGCTGGTCACTGTTAGCCCATGCACAGAAGGGACCTCTGTCCATTTGCACCCCGGGAGTCAGAGACCAGGAACCAAGTCCATGCTGTGCTGTGTGACTTTGGGCACATGGCTGCCTTCTCTGGGCTTCAGTGTCCTTTTTATCTGTGAGGCCCCCTGAGGTCTCACACTCTTCTGGACTTCAGAAGGGACTCAAGTAGTGAGAAGTTGATCGTGGTCTGTATGCCCTCCTTTGCCCATCCTCAGAAACCTGCCTGCTGGGGCACTTGGCGAGTGGGTTGCAGTTAGCTGGAGCCTGGGGTAGGGCTCCGAGCGGGCAGTTTGGCAGCAGCAACCCAGGCAATACCTGCCAACTCTGGCCCGAGCCGGGGCTGTTGGCTTGGGTTTTTCCACTTCCTGCCTCCAGTGACCTGGAGCCTCCTTTACCCATTCCTGGCCAGCTTGGTGTTGCCGGGTCCTGCAGGGTATTCGTGTGTCATCTGGGGTATGTGTGTTTGCAAGTGTGTGCGGCGTGTGTGTGTGTGTGTGTGTGTGTGTGTGTGTGTGTGTGTGTGTGTGCATGCCTGTGCTTTTCAACTTGGGCACATCAGGGCACCCCCTCCCCCAGAACGCACACACCTGTTCCCATATGTGGACGTGGCCTCTGTGCCCAGGCTTGTGCCCCTGGAGGTGGCCATGCCTGTTTGCTGTCACAGGGTCAGTCAGTGTATATCCTATGTGCCTCTCCTGCCCTCTCTGATGGGGCCCATGATTCTGAGCTCTGGCCAGACTCCTCCTGAGGGATGGGGACCCTCCTCATCCCTGCATCTTCCAGGGCCCTCTGGTCCCCACCTTGAAGCTCCCAGGCATCTGAATCAGCCCCTCCCACTCACCCTCGGAGGGCAGGTGGCTGGGAGCTTGGATGCAGGGATGTGAACATGGCTCTGCCGTGTCCCTGGAGTATATGCTGGGGACGCTCTCAGTCCCACCCATTCGTTCTGTAAACAACCTGTAAATAGCCTTCAGCATTCCTCTTGTAACGAGATTAATTTTTATGAGATAAATTATATTTCCTAGTCTAATAAAAAAAAAGAAAAAAATCCAGGTCCCGGCCTGTCATGTCGTCTTGGTGTCTTTTAATGGCAGTTGAGTGTGATGGTCTTGTTCTTCCCATCAATCCACAGCAAGTGAGAGCTCCAATCCTTGATCCAGCTCAACCCCTTCACCTTACAGAAGGGAAAACAGGTGGAGGGGGGGATGGGCTTTTCGACAGCAAGTTAGGTCCCCATGAATGGCCTGGACCTCACTCACCCTGCTCACCACCTAGGGCTTAAAGCACAGAACATAGGTGGTGGTGGGGGGCGCAGGGGGATGATGGACTAATACCAGCACCATCTGCCTCCCCGTTCAGAAGGATGCGCCCCAACTGAGGCTGGGGGTCCTTTCGGTGCCGTCAGCCTGTGTTGTGAGGATGCTGTCCAGGCAGGAGGAGAACATGAACATGAGTGACATGAACACAGGGTTGAATGGTTGGGTACCAGGCACAGCTGAGCAGTTAACATGGACACATACCCATCCAAGGAGGAGGGTGGCAGCATATTTCCTCGCCAATGGCAGACAGCATTGAGTTCTCCCAGCCCTCCTAATGAGATCAACGGGCCTGTGTCAGTTTTCCTGCAGATGGGATGGATCCTGCAGGCGGAGGGGTGCACTCTTTAATTTTCACGACTGTTGGTTACCTCCATTTAAACTGGTCCCCATCATCCTGTCCTCACCCTGTGACTTGGTCTGGTTGGAAGTTCCCAGCCTGTGTTGCTCCAGTCCCTTGAGTTTGGAGAGCCAGCCCTTGGCTCCGTTATGGAGGAGCACACGGTCCACCACACACTTAAGGGTGGCGCCACCTAGTGGTGGCTTTCTTATCCCCGTGGTAAGACCCTCATCTTCGTCAATACAGGGTGTCTCCAGAGATCAAGGTTCCTAAGGGCCTTGCCCGCTCTGGCCCCCCAGCACCTGTGACTGGCTCTAGGGCTGTCTCAGTGTGGAGGGCATGTGAGGCAGGTCTGAGATGAGACGTTACTAAGAAGAGGGAAATCCATGGGTCCTCTGGGTGTCTGGTCTGGGAGGGAGGCAGGGCGTGTGGCGTGTGCGCACACAAGTGTGCACACACTTCCATTGGCCTGCTTTCACTACCTGGGCAGCTTAGACCTGAGACAGCCACATTCAGCGAGTTTCTAGGCCCCAGAAGCTGCCCCAGGGCGAAGGTGTGTGGTCTGAAAATTCAAGGGGAATTTATTGATAGGACAGGCAGGTGGACATGTCTGGGGGGTAGGTGGGGTGGGGTATGGGGAGTGAGCTAGGCTGGGCAGCTCATAGTGTAAAAAGTGGAACCTGTAGATGGTACACCGGGGTCAGGGTGAGAACAGGAAGTAAGGGTCCTGCTTGCCCCGAGAGAGTGGTTGCCTTGGGATCAGTGGGGTGGAGAGGACAGTGTGGTCCTCAGCACAGAGTTGTGAATGAGAAAACAGAGGACAGGCTATAGAGGACAAAGGGGTCTCCCAGGCCACCGTTAACTCTAGATCACAAAGGCCAGGCCTCAGAACTTTGTACCTAGACTGAGGTTAAAGCCACTGTGTCTCCCAGTTGTGGGGGTCAGAGAAGCCGCCTCAGCGTTTCCCGGGACGGCAGGAGGTCTTAGTTGCCCTCCTCTTAACAGCGGGTCTCCACTTTGGCAAGACCTGCACAGATGCCATCGAGCCACAGCAGAAGAGGGGCGGTAGGGCCTGGTGTGGACTTTGGCGAGAAGGAAAGGTTCTCAGAAGGAACGTCCTGGAACACCTGGCCCTGGGTACTGTGGCTAATTAAGCCACCTTCTGAGGCGGTAGAGCCAGTGTGCCACAGGGACAATAAGAAAGCCACCACTAGGTGGCGCCCGAAAACCGACGCAGTTAGAACCGAGAAGGAGCTGCTCCAGTGTTCCTGATGTTTCTGACCGCAACCCCGGGAGCTTGGAATGCTTTTCTCCAGGCATCCCAGGAGCGCCCTCCTCTGGTGTGTGATGGGAATAGCAGTGAGGCTTAGAGCTGTATGGGAGCCCGTTTTCAGGTTCCTCGTGGCTTTACCCAGCAGGTCCACATAGAGTATGATTAGGGCCACGGGCCTGAGTGCAGGGGTCTGAGATGGTCTGCACTTGGCTGTGCTGGCGGAGGAGGTCTTTTGCTCCACCCCTTGGCGTCTCTATAAAAACTCTGGGCCAGAGACAGTCGGGGCCCATTAGAAAAGGTTCCAGGCCCTCTCGAGGTTGTTCTTTATTTTCTGTTTATCTCTGCAATATAAATCCTTCTATCTAATATTTCCTGCTGCTCTCACTCAAGAAAACTCTGGGGAGCTTTGGGGTTGGTGGGTAAAAGCCCCGCAGAGCTGGATCACAGAAATCTCCATTGGAAGTAAATGGTGAATTAACATCCATAAAAAAATGAAAAGAAAACCAACTGGAATTCCAGACCCTGTGAAGAGACCCTTCTTCTAAAAATATGTATTTATTTTCATCATATTTTTATTTATTTATTTTTTTGTTTTTTTCAAGACAGGGTTTCTCTATGTAGTTTTGGTGCCTGTCCTGGAGCTCACTCTGTAGCCCAGGCTGGCCTTGAATTCACAGAGATTCGCCTGGCTCTGCCTCCCGAGTGCTGGGATTAAAAACGTGTGCCGCCACCGCCTGGCTGTATTTATTTTTGATGGGTATGAGAGAGAGCATACACGTACCACAGCGTGGAGGTCAGAGGACTACTTCGGAGAGATGGTTCTCTCCACCCACCACTTACAGAGGTTCCCTCACCCTCACCCACCGAGTTATCTGGGGACACCAGAAGCTGTCCTTCTAAAGGTTAGCAGACTGACCTTGATAGAAACAGAAAGGATTGGAGGAGGAGACAAGCATGGGGAGGGGCGGAGCAAAGGATGGTGGAGAGAGCACCTGGACAGAACAGCAGCAGCTGTGACAACGAGAAAAGGCGGCATCCAAGTGAGTCCTCAAATACTGCGGGATCAAACGACACAGCACTAACGCGAGACCCGGCAGCGGCTGCAGCCTTGGAGTGTCTTGGGGTCTCTATGACACAGCATCTCTCTCTCTCTCTGCCGTAATTTCCTCTTACAAAATGACCTGGGCACTCCTCCACCTAGAGATGACGGTTAGCCAGGTATGGCGCCCGCACAACGGTAATCCCAGCACAGGAAGGAGGATCTAGAGTTCAAGGCCATCCTCGGCTGCATAGTGAGCTGGAGATCAGCCTCCTCGTGAGACTCCACCCTGGATAACTCCTGGGTCACAAAAAGATGATCACCCCCCAGAGACCATCACCACCATGCAAGAAAGCCTACGCAGTCTCAGCAAGCAGCTGCGTGTACTGCGGTCGGGGACTCCAGCTCAGGTCCCAGTGACAGCCAGGACCACCGAGAGTCAGACACACGAACAGGTGAGGAAGGCAGTTGGGGCCTCAGCCTTTGGACCTTCCTAATGATGGAGACCACAAGGCAGAGACAGATGTGTTCACTGGGCACCGCCCATGGCATAATAAATACTTGACTCTGCTTTGTGTAAAGGGCATTCGTTTTAGGCTATAGTGAGCAGAAATGACCTTCTGGGGCCCAAGTACAGCTCTGTTGGGTGATGGTGACTATTGAGTCCCATCCTGACAGAAGACACAGCATGTGGGCTGTCTGTGAAGAGTTATCTAGATTAGTTGGGAAGAGCAGCAGTAATATGGTTGGTGTCGTCCCACAGGCTGGGGTCCCTGGCTGGGCAGCATTCATTTCTCTCTGCCCCTGTGCAGGCATGCCATGTGACCAGCTGCCTCATGTTCTGCTCTTCCTCCCAGGACTCCCCCTATCCCCCATGATGGACGGTGAGCCATCAAAGTGTGAGCCAAGAGAAGCCCTCCATTAAGTTCCTGCTGCCCATATCATGTCACAGCAATAAGAACGGGAACTAATACAGACTTCTTGGCCAGGACGCGGATGGTGCGGTTGTTATCACGTGCATTCATCCACAAGCACCACCTGAGATCTGCATACGGATCTCTATGTAGATTATGCTTCTGTTAGGGATATGAGAGATCAGAAAGCAACAGAGAGCGTGGGATGGACAGTGTAAGAAAGCATGGGTCCCAGGAGGCTCCTGAGCAGGCAGGGGGCATAGAGGGTGGGGTGAGGTGGGGCGGAGAGGGGGCCAGACTAAGGAGTGGTAGAGGAACTTCCTCGATGTAAATGCAGAAGAGGGGTAGGGGATACAGGGCAGGGTGAACCCCCTTGTGATTTTCATCTTTTCTGTAAAGTGGGGACGGGAGGACAGACCGTGCCGGGTGGGATGTGACCCTGCAGCTTGGAGCAGGTGAAAGCGGAGCTAAGGCGCGTGGGGAATACTGGGAAGCCCTGGCTTGGATGGGTGGTCATGGATTCCAGTGGACCCACCGACTGCTGGCGCTCTCCAGCGACACTCTTAAACTGCGTCTAAGTGAGCCGCCCAGGTTTGGTGCATAGTGGTACCAGGGAAACAGAGACATGGGTGTTCAGGGTGTTACTAAGACCTCGGGCTCTAAGCAGACTCAGGGTGAAAGTAAAGGGGTGTCCCACGTATGGAGCAGGGGCAGAGGACTCAAGGGCCAGAGCCCCCTAAAGGTCGGAACTTGCCTGAGGGAGCTGATGAGCCAGCCCACAGCCAGGCAGCCAGGAGAGGGGACACACAAGCAAGTCACCTTGGAGAGGGACTTGGATTAGAACTAGTTATTGCAGGGACATTAGAAGTGTTCTGTTTGGGAGCCCTGGAACCCTGGCGGGTGGGGTGGGGTGACACTGGCGGGTCTAAACCCGGAGCTTGTGCAGTGGCAGAAAAAGTGCCACAAGATGGCAGCATCTACTAGTAAATCCCAATAGACAAGTTTGTGCCTGTCAGGCTGACTCCAAAGAAGGTACTCCGACCACCTGTGCGCGGGGAGGGGGTGGGGGGGAGGGGGCGTGCAGGAGGAGGGATACATAGGAAGCCCCTATCCTTTCCGTCTTGTTTTGTCTTTTGGACAAGAAAAGTATAAACTAACTTTGTTGGAAAT